GCCACCAGGGTTCAGCTGGGGATCTGGGGCTCAGTTTTGAGGGGACAGGTTCCAAAGAAGGCTTCGGCTGGAGGCAATTAGGAAGGGAGCAGTATAGAGTTCCCTGCTGGCAGACCAAGAACGGACTCGGGGTAGTAAGGGGTCACGGCTCTGGCGGCTGGCTTTGTGGGGCTTGGAAATCAAACTCTGGATGTGTTGGCTGGAGAGGTTGGTTCTGGGGCCTCTGTCCAGGCTACCGGGCATCTAACACTTAGGATTCTGCCCTAAGCACCGTCCAAGCCTAACTGCATTTCCTTGTAGGAATTCCGAGTCTCTAGAATGATCTTCTATAAAGCTTCCTCGGCCCTCAGACTTCTATCTCAGAAGGGGTAAGAATCACAGAGACCCAGAGGGACAAGGGTGGAGATAGGACTGTACAAATAGGTGGGGTGTGGAGTGTGGACAGGCACATGGAGATGTCTGGCCGAGAAGCAGGAGACCTGTTGGTTCCTCTCCTGGCTTTGATTCAATTGCTGTGTGACTTCAGGCCAGACCCCCACTTTCTCTGAACCATTCTGAAAGCCTGAGATGATACTTTCCCTGCCACTGGTTATCGATTTCACAACTGATTTAAAATAAGCAGCTCTGTCCTCCAGTGTGGTAAACAGTGTGGTAAACAGGGTCCCCAACCCTGAACGACATCATGCCTATGGATAAAGGTCTCCACGGTCCTGGGGAAACGGTCCTCATTTTAGGAGTTGTCAAGAGAGAAGTCTTTTCTGGAGCCACAGATAATATGAGAGTTATGTAGTTTACATGTGACAGTGGAGGGGGGTGCTTTGTGGTGCAAGGTGGGATGGGAAGGGTCAGGGTAGCCTGAGAGAGGGGCCACCTGCCTCCACGCAGGGTAGGTTTGCCAAGGGCAGAACGTACTGCCTCCAGCGGCTTGGCCCTGATTTATAATAGCAATCCTAGACACATGGCACGTGGGCCTGTGGTTCTGTGACCGCCCACGCCTGACAACACTGTGCCTACACCGGCTTCCCACACCAATGTCCTACCTGAATACTCACTACCCCACGAGCCAGGGTTCCCACCCTCTGACCCCAACCAAGCCCGGGAAACTCTACTCTTCTGGCGCCAGGATCAAATGCCGTCTGCCAGGGTTATCTTTCATCCCTAACTCCTCTGGCCACCTGGATGGCAAGGGTGGGGGAAGGTGTCCCTCGACTGAGACCAGCTCCAGCTGTGAGCTCACAGGCAGGGAGTGCTCTGTGTGTGTCAGGGGTGTGCTCTGAAGAGACCATGGGGGTGGGCTTGGTGACTGTCCCACACCTAGAATGGCTCGTTCTTCCTCCAGCTTCTCAGTCTATTTAGTGTTACTCAGGCCAGCCTTAATGTCACTTCCTAAGAACAAGGCCACCCCAGGCTAGGGACCCCAGGGACCCCTTGTCTCGGATGGCTATTACATCCCCTCACTTTCTTCAACTTCAGCCTCCAACTGCGAGAAGAGAAATGAGCCCACAGTGATCGGGGTAGAATACAACCTGAACACTGAGGGGTGGCCAGTCTCCTGTGGGGAAGAGGAACCCAGTGCAGAGAAGGGCAATGGAGGCCAACGCTGTGGAGTATGGAGAGTCACCTACATCTCCTCCTTGCTGACTGCTGGGTTTAAATCCCATATCTACAGTGACAGCTTCCAAATTTATATTTCTCATGTGCCCTCCCCCCAGTTCCCCAACACCTCTGGCTTAATACACTCAAGACTGAATCCTCCTCGCTGCCTAGAACCTATCCACCACCACCCCACTGCCCCCGGAGGCTGGTGCTCTCAGACTCTCGTGATCATCAATTCTGACCCCAAAGTCACCCTTTATTCCCTCTCAGACCCTCCCGTTCCCACTCTTATCTATCAACTGGTGGGACCTGCCCCAGACAGATCTGCCCCCACATTCTTTGGTATCTCTATAGGTGCCTCCTTAGTCCTCCCTCTTGCCTCCTCCCTGACACACATTTGTCAGAACCATCTAAGTCACCCCACTACTTACAAGCCTCCAAGGATGAGGAAAATAAACCCAACCTCCTGACAGTGGCCTAAGGCCTCACAGATGCAGGCCCTGCCTATGCCTCTCGAATCCTTTCTGCCTGGGCAAATGCCAGCCATGGTGGTGCCTATTTGTGTTTCAACCTGATTCTTTCCTGCCCCGGGCCCTTTGCATTTGCTGTTCCCTGGCCAGGGATCTTCCCCAGCTTCTCCCACAGCTTGGCCCTGCTTGGTTCTCCTAGGTGTGCTCTTCCTTTAAGGCCTTCTGAGCTCTCCATGTGGAATTCAGCTCTGCTCCCTCCAGGACACTGGCCACATCCTTCAGTTGTCTCAGTTTCTCTTCTGGAATACACAGCTTCGACCTCACCAAAGACTATCTAGTGTGAGCCCGGGGGGCCTCCAAGGACTGCTAGATGACTGGATGAACTGGTCTCAGTTCCTCCCATCTGGGGAAGGGAAGTGAAAGAAAGAACATAGACTCAGACAAATCCTAGCAGTGTCCTGGACAGCTGCTGGGTCACCTCCATTGCAGAGCCCACACCGGTCCTCCTAGGTGCCTGGGAGCCTAGCTGGCCTGGATTAGCTTGTTTCCTCCAGGGAGTTTTCCGCTTCCTCTCCATGGGGGTTGGTGCTCTGGAAGCCCCAGGAGAAAGGGCTCTTGTTTCCATGCTCACGGGTCTGGGGACCCAGAGCTAGGTGGAGAGGTCAGGAACCCAAGAAGGCTGGCTGGAGCCCAGCCCCACCCCTAGTCTCAATTTTGCCACTCATGTCCCAGCCCTGTCCTCTTTATTAGCTTCTCCCTTGCTCCTCCAGTCTGGGAGCAGCTCTCCTCTACATCTGGACACTCCTTTACATCTTCTTCCCGGAGCCGTGGCCAAGGGCACTGAGGTACAAAGGGCAGAGTCTAGGCCTCATTCTGCCATTTGACAGGTAAACAGCTGGGTACCTGCCATGGTCTGGGCCATCCTGGTGCACTCCCAGAGGGCAGGAGCATCGTGGATAGGTCCCCAGGCTAACTGACTCTCAGAGTGCCTCTTCCATGGCTTTAGTGAATGGCTTTCATACCCTTTTAGGAGGTCAAGGTAAGTTTCCAGGGTCTCCATCCTACAGACAGGGAAACCAGGTATCTACATTCCAGTGGGTCCCCAGGACCAATGTAAGGTCAAGATAGAGTCTGACAGGAATTACTCTTCTAGAATATGTGACCTTGAGTAGAGAAAGCATCTAAGTTGAGCTGGCCTGCTACAGGGGCCCGCTTATAGGCATAAGGTATCTGATTCACTGGGCTACAGCAAGGCATAGGAAGAGCTCTGTGAGTTTCCCTGTCTATACCCCCTGACCAGAGCCCAGTGTGGCTCACAGCAGTCCAGACAGCTCAGCAGGTGAGGTGGGACTATGGTTTATATACAGTGAAATGCTGCACATCCTTGCATTCCACTGTCCCCAAGGACTCCATAGTCTCTCACACTTAACAGCCCTGACTGCTGGGCCCTGGGGAAGGGGCTCATCTGTATGGTTTCTTGCCTGTGTCTGCAGCTCTGGGGTCACATGATCCAGAGACAGCTGCTTGTCTCTGCTGACAAGACAGCCACTTCCACCGTGCCATGCCGAATACATGGTTCTACTCAGGGCCCCTCCCTGCCTTCCGTGGGTTTGCAGTGAGGCTTCTGGGGACATGTGAGGGGTGGGATCAACCATCCAGTCTGTTCATATCACACAGATGTTTGGCAAAGGCAAGAGTCTTGCCCAAGGTTTTCCAGAGGAACCTGGCTTAGACCCACATGTCACCCCACAGAATTCCTTTTCCCCTGGAAGGAGAGGCCCCTGCTTCCCTCTCCCTCATGCCAATCATCTCCTTAGCCATGAAGGTCATTGCAAGAAAGCAAGATTTTCTAGAAAGATGAGAGAGGGAGCCATGCAGGTGAGGGGTGAAAGCGAAGGCTCCTGTCCCCTCCCTCTGTCCGCCAGCCCCCTCCCCATCCTGTTCTTGAACTCATAGAATGGTCTACTCTTTCTAAGAACAGGAAATGCCATCTCTGTCTTCCCTTGCTCAAAGGGAGCCTGGGGGGTCACGGCCCCTCTTGTCCCCCCTAAGTTAAAGACCCTTTCTCTCTAAGGCTGCCCCCCCCTCCTCTGCCACCTGGCTTTCCCAGAGCCTTGTGGGATCAGGGGCCAGAGGAGGATTAGGTTCTGCAATGGCTCACCACCCTCCACCTCCCCTCCATCCTGCCTCCCGGACTTAGTCATCTCTGCCCTCTGCCGCCTTCTCTCTCCATCACAACCTTTCTACCAGGCCAAGGGAGGAGGACACTGACAGGCGGCCCCCACCCAGGGGGCGGCGAAGCCAGGGGCCGGCTGTTCCGCAAAGGCTTACAAGCCGCTTCTCCTCCCTCCCCCTTCCCTTCTTCGCCCCGCAGCCCGCGCCTCCCCCTCCGCGGCTCTGCGCACCGATGGCGGCGGGAGCCGCAGAGGTGTGTGTGTGTGTGTGTGTGTGTGTGTGTGTGTGTGTGTGTGTGCGCGCGCGCGCGCGTGTGCGTGTGCGAAGGGGGAGGTTGTGCCTGGTCTCTGATGCCCACGGGGCTGTGTCCTTTTCTAGGGACTGAAGGGGGGGCTGTCCCCTGTCACGACCAGAAATTCCCACGGGGGCAGAGCCGGCTCCATGGAGCCTAGGGTGGGAAGGGGACACTGCCCTCCGGGTGGTGTCCGCTCCCAGCGAGGCGCTGAGTAATGCGGGCCCCCAGGGTGCGGGAATTGGGAATCAAGGACAGCTCTCTGCTAGGGTCGCCCTGCAGAGGATGGGGTGAAGGGGGCGTGAGTGGGGTACTCCACCGATGTCCGTGGTCTGACGAGGTCGCTGCGGACCCCTGGGATCGGGTGGGGGGCGGGGGCGCTCGATCCTCAGGAGCAGCGGCCAGACTGTCGGAGCCCGGGGCGGGGACCCTGGGCACGAGAGCGCGGGAGTCCGCGTCGCTCCTACCTGCCCACGAAATTCTCCAGCACTGAGCTCTTGCCGGCGCTCTGGCCGCCCACCACGGCTATCTGCGGCAGGTCGAGGTCCGCGTTCTGGCCGATGGCGGAGAAGGCGTCCTGTAGCCGATTGACCAGAGGGATGAGGTCTTCCATGCCGCGGTTGCCCATGGCTGCGGCGGGCCCGGCGGGCTGCGATCCCTGCCGCCGCTCCTGCTCCGGCTCCTGGCCCCCGGCTTCGCGGCTGCAGCCGAATATCCCGACTGCGTGCGCCGCGGGTCCCCCGCCCCACGGGGATCCGAGCGGAGCGCTTCTCAATACTACCGCTAGATGGCGCACGAGGTCTCGCCGGCTGGTCACCATACGTAGGCGCTTCGCGGAGCGCCATGGGTGTTGTAGTTTTCTCCTTCTGCGGCTTTCGGGGAGATTATTTATCTGTGTCTCTGGGGGTACGGATGCTGCCTCAAAGATGTTATTTCTGGCGACGAGAGGGGTGCTAACTCTAGAAGTGGATTGTTATATGGTGGTCATGATTACTTCATTTCAACATTCATTTCCAGCACAGCCTTAGAGGGGGAAGATCTGGCACCCTCAAAGTTGTAGTCAGCTGACCAAAATCAGCCCTGGTCCACTTAACCCTGGATGCTTTCTATTCTAGATTCTGGCACTAATTAATAATCTCCAACATATTCCTTTCTATCTTTGGGTATGATAAGCCAGGCCCCATCCTAAACTCACAGATACAACACTAAGCAGAACACCACAGCTGGGGGTCTCTACGATCAGACCTTACAGGTGGTGGGACAGACAAGACACACATAGGCAGAGGCCAGAATGGGAAAAATAGAAATCATCTGTACTAGAAAAAATGGAAGAAACCAGCAGGGAATGTAAAGCCACGTTAGCCGGGAGGAGTCAAAGGTATCCTGAAGTAGTGACCTTTGAAAAGGGATCTAAATGATAAGAAAGGGCCAGCCACAAGCAGATAAGGGAAAAGCACCTGGGGTGGAAGGAAGCTCTTTCAGGGAGAGGTGAAAGTTCTTGTCTTAAACTCTAAGGCTCTAAGAGGGTGGTAGCCAGGCCCAATGCATGAGGAGAGTGGTAATCTCCGAGATTCAAACAAGGACTCCTTCCAATTGTGCTTGCCTGTCTTTTTCGCACAGAGAGGCCATGAGGCACCATGCCCAGCTACCTCCTTTTGCACCAAGAAGGACCTAATTAGGATTTCCCACAAGGAAGCTAAGAAAGGAATGGTTGGTCAGCAGGTTACTTCCGTGTGCCGAGACTAGGGAAGTGCCCTAGGAATTGGAGACTTAGTTTTTCACCCACTATGTCATGGTTCCTGAGTCACGCACCATGCTACACCCCAAAGAAAAAGCAGTGAGGAGAATGCTCTTTACCTACATGTGGCTTATAGTTGAGTGGAAAAAGGAGGACTAAAGGCAATGCAGCCAATAAACATGACTGTCCAAGTTGCTGAGCGGGGAGTGGGGGTGGGGAAGCTTTTGTGTTGTTAGTGTATACAGGGTGATCAGAGACTGTAATGCCAAGGTGAGGCTGGAACAGAGACTAAAAGCAGGTGGACAATGAGCCAAGTGAGAAGGGGTTTTCATATAGGTGGAGGAACCCCCTGAGCCTTACTTACATATAAGATCTGGATTCTTCCACATTTCTGGATCTCAGTTATCTAATCAGGAGAGCGGGCAAATGACAGAACAGAATGCCTGTGAAGGGCTCCGCCCAGGCCTGTGCTCACATGCCAATCACATCAGAAGTCCAGGGAGCTGAAACTCAAGTCCCAGCATCCTCCATCCCAAGCAGCTGTTCTTAGACAAACTGTTAGGCTCTGAGGATCGGAGAGCAGGGGATGTGAACCAAGATGATTGGCACCATCAATCTAGGCAGGGAGTACAGCATGAAAATGTCTGTCTGGACCATTGCAACTGGGATTTTGTTATTTTTTTCTTAGTCTTTATTTTCTTTTTTTTCAGAGAAAAGTCTGAGTGTAGCCCTCTACTACCACAAAGTATGCAGCCATTGTCCCCCATGTTTGGGAAAATCATGGGAATCAGCACACGATGGATGAGCAGGCTCACCCTGCAAAAACCACTTCCTTGATCATGGCATCTTTCCTGCCACACAATAGTGAAACTTACCATTAAAAAACAGACATTCCAGAAGTATTTGAAAGCCTTGAGCTATCTTTCCACCTATGGCTCAACACTACAGCTCAGGGTTTATTCTGCAGTGTGCCACTTTTATTTTTTTTATTTTTTATTTTTGTTGTTGTTTTTCAAGACAAGATTTTTCTGTGTAGCCTTGGTTGCCCTGGAACTCACTCTGTAGACCAAGCTGGCCTCTCTGCCTCCTGGATGCTGGGATTAAAGGCATGTGCTACCACTGTCCAGCTTCAGCAATTCTTTCATTTTTACAAAATGGGATCATGCTAAATGCCCTGCAATAATTGATCTCTGAGCCACTGGGACCTGGTGGGAAGTTGGTTAGAAATACAGAACCCAGGTCATTTCTGTGTCACAGAACATGCAACAAGGACCAAGTCATCCAGGAAATTGCTGTGCAAACTGAAGGTGGGGTGTGGAGAGGGAGATGCTGTGGATGAAGGAAGATGCACATGGGTGTGAATTCAGAAAGTAAACACCCCCTGACATACACTCTGCTCTCATGCTTTCTGTGTGGCTTTGCAGAGATGGAAAGATGGCTGTTGCAGAGAGGTTCCTAGGCTCAAAGAAGCTGGGCACTCTGAAGAACAGTACATCCATCAAATCAGAGCCCCCAAACACCAAATGTTTTGGCCCTCTGCTTTGAACACTGGGACAGGAGGATGCTATGCTGAGCTCTAGAAGTTTGACCACCATGGAGCCCAGTTATTAATAGAAACATTCCATAAGTGGTTCCTTCCAGCAGTGACTATGCTTGGTGACTCCATTGGCACCATCTCAGACTTTTAGTAGCTTCTGTGATAAGTGAGGGAAATGAGGTGCAGAGATGCTACTGAGAAACCTCCAGGGTCACGAGGCCAAGAAATGAGAGAGTCAAACTGTCAATAGAGGTGGATGTGACTCACAGCTTGTCTGCTCTGGCAACCTATGGTGTGTGTGTGTGTGTGTGTGTGTGTGTGTGTGTGTGTGTGCGCGCGCGCATATGCGCAGAGGTTAGAGGAGAAACTCAAATAGTGTCCTCATCTGCCATCCACCTTGTTTTTGAGAAAGGGTTCCCTCATTGGCCTGGGACTCATCAGCAGGTAAGTGACTGACCAACCTGCCCAAGGTCCTCTCTTCTTTTGCACTGGAGTCACAAGCACACACCTCCATGCCTGGCTTTTTATATGTTGTGGGGTTCCAGATATGGCCTTTATGCTTAGTAGGTAAGCACTTTACCAACTGTACCATTTCCCTAGCTAAATATATGTATTTTGAGTGTACATAAAACCATACACTATCCTCTTGAGATGTGTGCATGCACAGCAGCTGCTTAAAAAAAAAAAGCACTTAAGAGCCAGTGAGATGGCTGCACACAAAGGCACTTTCCATCCATCCTGTCTATCTGAGTTTGATCCCTGGGAGCTACATGGTAGAGGAGAGCTGACTCCCTCAAGTTGTCCTTTGACCTCCATACAAACTCATGGACACACACAAAGTCATGGACACACACATATACACAAATAAATAAAAATGAAAGAATCCAGGACAGGTGATTGGAACAGTGGTCTTCAGATAAAAATTCCTAGCACAAACCTTTGTATTTAGCCATTCAGTCTTCTCTGGGTGTGGCCTTTTGGATCCATCATTCATTATGTTTTTTTCAACACATAGGGATCAGTGTGCAAGTCATGCAAGACACAGGTCCATGAAGAGGTTAGTAAGATGCAAAGATCATCCTGTTGCAGCAGCAGGGATTCACAGAGGAGAACCAGACGTATCCAACAGATCAGGCACATGGAGCAAAACCACTGTGATGCTCTGAATATGTATGGCCCCATAGGCTCACATATTTAGCTGCTTGCTCATTAGGAAGTGGCACTAGGGTAGGCTTTTGGGTCTGAGATGCTCAAGTCAGGTCCAGTATCTCTCTCTTCCTGCTGTCTCCAGTCCCAGGTGTAGAGCTCTTGGCTCCTTCTTCAGAACTTTCTGCTTGTACACCCCTGTGCCTCCCACCATGACAACAATGGACTGCCCTCTGAATCTGTAAACTGGCCCCAATTAAATATTGTATTTTATAAGAGTTGCTGTGGTGATGGTGTCCCTTCACAGCAATAGAAACCCTAAGACAGGCACCCAGGGCAGGGGCACTGTAGAGGAAGCCCCTGAGTCAGGCTGGGGCTTGTATAGTGCCCTATTCTTGAAGGCTGGGAGGCTGGGCACAAAGGCATTCTCAGAGTTTGGGGGAATTTCCGGTCTAAGTATCTGCATTTGTCCCATTCCATCCCATGGAGAGTTACTCCCCAGGAGCCTGGGAGAGGGCCTGACATCATTGCTGATTCTGCCCTGGTGTTCATGTCCATTCTCTACGTACTGTTTTGTGGCCTGATGACTTGGGGAAAGCCACTTCACCTCTGGGAGCTTCAGCTTCTCTAATTGTAAAAGGGAATTGATAATAAAATCCCTGATTTGCAGAATCCTGAAGTGATGAAGCGAATTTGGGTAGAGAACCACTGTAACAACGATTAGCATAGCGGTAAGCAGTACCTCCCACACACTGCACCCTCTAGAGGGACCCTTGAGTCTCAGGAAGGTAGAAGAGACTGGATGCAATGACAAGGTATGTGGGAAGGGGGAGGCTGTCACCAACAAGTCAGTTCTGTCCAGCAGAAATAACCAAATCAAGGGCATGAATCAGAAGGATGCTTGCTCCAGAAGGTGGGGACAGACACCAGGCTGTGTACATTCAGCTCACCCCCCCCCCACTCTGTCCTTAGCTCTCATCATGTGTATTTATAGGAAAGGTACAGGTGGGCAGCAATCACTTGGAAGGTCACGTGATAAATACACGGCCTCATTTGCTCTGCCTCCTGCCCAATGTGGAGCTTCTGCTGTGCGTGGCCAGTTCCCAGGAATTCTGAGCTGGGTTGGCAGGTGGCAGGCCCACCTTGGTGTCTGTGTTGGCGTGCTGTGCTGGATGCCTGGCTGAAATCTCCTCTGTAGGAGGATGGTGTGGATGTCAAGCAAGGAAGAGCTGCCCTATGGACCATCACTCTTGAGACAGAGGGAAGTACTTGAATTCATGTACTGGAGTCATTCATTCATTCACCCATTCATTTAATTGACTTTCACAAGACAAGTG